GTTAGAGTCTCACTCTGTCGCCCAGGCTGGAGTGCAGTGGCACACTCACAGCCACTGCAGTCTCGACCTGCTGGGCTTAGGCAGCCACTGCAGCCTCGACCTGCTGGGCTCAACCTTCCAGGTAGCTGGAACTACAGATACACACCACCACACCCAGCTAATTTTTGTGATTTATTGTAGAGACAAGGTCTCACCAAGTCGCCCAGGCTGGTCTTGACGCCCCGGGCTCAGGCAGTTCTCTCACCTCGACCTCCCAAAGTGCTGGCATTACAGGCTGAGCCACCGTGCCGGGATCCACAGGTGATTTTTATCCTCACTAAAACTGGAGCCCTACCACTATAAGTTGTTCTTACATACAAAGGGGACCAGAAAAAACCCAGAAATAATTTTTTCAAATGTGTATTCATTCTTACATACTTAAACTCCAGTCACCTTCAAAGTACCCTCCGTTTGATGCAATACACCGATCAAGATGCTTTTTTCACTGCTTAAAACAGTTTTTGAACTTGTCAGTTTTGATGTTTTTTAGTGCTTCTGTCTTTTTTTTTTGTTTCACCTCTTCCACATAGGCAAAGCATTTTCTTTGGATGACTTTTTTCATCTGCGGAAACAAAAAAAGGTCACTCGGACCGAGATCTGGTGAAGAGGCAAGAGGGGGGCACAGGGGCCATGCCACTTTTGGTCCAAAACTGCTGAACGCTTAGCGTGGTATGGGCGGGTGCTCTTGAAAATCACTTATCATGAAATAGGCAAATGTGTTGGAAGAATCTTAAAAAAAAATACCTAAAGGCCGGCCATGGTGGCTCATGCCTGTCATCCCAGTATCTTCGGAGGCAGAGGTGAGAGGATTGCCTGAGCTCAGGGGTTCAAGACCAACCTGCGCAAGTTGGTGAGACCTCATCTCTACAATAAATAAAAAATTAAGCCAGGTGTGGTGGTGTGCACTGCACCTGTAGTTTCAGCTACTTGGAAAGCTGAGGCAGAAGGATTCCCTGAACCCAGCGGTCAAGGCTGCAGTAACTGTGAGCGTGCCACTGCAGTCCAGCCTGGGTGATAGAGTGAGAAAAAAAAATTCACTGAAGCTTAGCATAGCCTCTTACAACAATGCTAGCTGGTACACTGATGCTGATGGGTTCCTAGAACACTTA